TATATATATATATATATATATATATATATTTTTTATATACGAAATTTTAAGAAAATGAAACACGCAAGATTCAATGTTTTTATTTTTGTATTTTTATCTATCTTTTCTGTATTCATTATCTATCTATCTATTCTATCTTATCTATCTATCTATCTCATCTATCTATGTCCATTCATATCTGTGTACATAGAATCTATCCACCTGGTTGTTAATCTATCCAATATTTTTGAATGACAACTTGATGAAATTTAGTATCTATTTTCCCATCTATCTAAACATCTATTTGTCATTATATCTAAACATTGTATCTATATCTATCTGTCGATCTAATCTATCTATCAATAGAAAATCTGTCTAAATCACGCAAGATTCATAAACCTCGTTTCCTATTTATCATTATCTATCCATATTTTTGAATATCTAGATTCTTATTCGACAATTTAGTATCTATTCTATCTATCTATCTATCTATCTATCTCAATCTATCTATCTATCTGAATCCATTTCCTATCTGTACTCATATCTATCTATTAAATATATCTGTCTATCTATCATATGGATTTTTGCATTTATTTTTTTATATATATCCTCGTCTGTATATACCTGTAAAATTTACTTACTCATTATCTATCCATATTTTTGAATATAGACATAGATGTATTTACTGTCGAAATTTAGTATCTATCTATCTATCTATCTATCTATCTATCTATCTATCTATCTATCTATCTATCTATCTCAATCCTTTTCATATCTATCTATCTATCTATATCTATCTATCTATCTATCTATCTATCTATCTATGTCAGTCTGTTCACTTGTTTTACTAATATTAAACCTATATAAAGCCCAAGAGCGACTGTGAGATGGTTACTGAAGTAGGTTTTTGTATGAGAGGTAAGAGTAAACGGTAAAAGACGTAGTTTATGATGATATGTGGGAAACAGAACCTTTAACTCTTGAATTTTACTTGTGGTCGGAAATCTATCCTCTTGGGAATCGGTTTCGCAAAATAGCCGTTCGTGTGAAGAAGCTGTTTATGTGGATCTTACTCCTTACTAATGGAATACAAATGGAACGAGAGTGGCTTGCTTCACGTGGCATAGCGTGTCTTCGCTGTTAAGATTAGAATATATATATAAATACACCTGAAGATTGCGTTTTGCTTGAAACTCCGAGTCGTGCTATCGGTGAGGATAATATGTATAGTTATCAATATATATATATATATATATATATATATATATATATATATATATATATATCGGGCTTGCGTACGGAGGATCAATTTGCGATGGAATAACGTGGCAAACTGAATCTTCTTTTAAATTTTAGACGAAAAAAAATACACAAAATGTGTTTGAAAATTTGAAAATAATAAATGGGTCACAAAATGGTCTTTATTCTTATAAACAGAATATGAATTTCTCTAAAAGTTCCAAAAATGCTAATTTTAACAGCTCTGATAAAAGCGAATCGTCAGCTACTGAATGTCCTGGCGTACGAGATGACAGGCCGTATAAGTCGACCGCCAAATTTTCTTGTTAAAATCTGGATTTCGGGCGATATTCTCCGTACAAGACGACCCCCCACCCAACCGTATTTTAAAGTGTATTTATTTAATAAATTCATTAAGCATATAAATGCTTTTCTCTCAAATTCTGATAATAATAAAAAAAGAAAAAAGAAACGGTTGGGAGATATTACCTGTTAACTACCACAATTTACAATACCTCATGAGGTAGGCTCTAACGGTACCCTGGATGACATTTCCCACTAACCGTCAACTTGTTCCACTGTTCTCGAATGCAATCGTTAAACAGGTTGAGATACACATCCAATTGTGTTTGAGTTCAATATTATCGAAAAAAGGAGGCGAGATAATGACAATTAACTACCTCAAACTACAGCGTGTGACGATGGCTTGGGATTTCTCTCTAGATATGCATTTTCTTGTTGTGCAGTCATAGCACTTATTATATAAGGTAAGAGTACCTTTATTACACTGTGCTTTTATTATTTTGTTATAATGTGAATTAAGTTGTTTCAGTAGAAAATATTTGTGTCGATATTTACGAAGATAGGGGTTAGTCTACCGTCAAAAATCTCTGTAGGCTAACAACTTACCATAAACCACAGGATTTATGGTTCACATTTTATAACTGGAGTATAAGACGGCACTCTATTTGGGGATGAGAGGAGATTTTTCAAGGTTAAAAGGTCGCCTTGTACGCCGACATATACGGTACTTAAGAAGCGGCACCGTGGAGTAATGGATAGCTGCTCGGATTGAAGATTCAGAGAGCTGTGTTCAAATACTACATACTATTCAGCGAGAGAATGGATCGTTCGCATTGGCTCGAAGATCCTGACTACGGTCGAATTATGTTGAGAAAGAAAATGGCGCTAATTATTTGCGAAAAAAAAAAATCTAACAACTTTTGTATTTACAATTTGTGGTTGGACTAAGTTCAGACTAGAGAAGTCAAATTTTCTAAAACTCAACCTGATTGTTTGATAAACACTTTATGTGCTTAAATTATGGAAAAGCTCACGAGTAGCTTTTTAAAGTCTAACGTTTCTCCTTAAATATAACTTGCTGAAAGGTTTCCAGCAGCAATGTTAATATATTGACTAAGCATGATGCATCGGAGCTACAAGAGGTTAACCATCTTAAGAGGCGTCGTCTTTGTTAAACGACAGGGCGTCAACATTATGACTGATGTTCACACCTTAAGAGAAGACTACATTTGTTGCTTACCTATCTTCATTGTATTATCAACAGCAAATTTTCTATTCAAAAGAATCATAGTCTTAACAAAAGCAATATAAATTTCTTCTCTTTCCCAGAAGATGTCCCTGGAGCACGCAGTCAGAAACGTTTCTTCCTGGTTGTTGACCATGATACACACAGAGGTCGAATTGTGCAATTTTTATATAGGCAATTTAAATAAAAATGTCTTCAATCCTTGAAAGCGACAAATCTTTTAGAAACATGGTGTTATTCTCTTGTTAGATCTTTTTTTTATCATTAATACTTAATCATTCTTTCCAGTTTTATACATTGTGCACATGGCCTTCTATTTTGAGGTTTTATTTATTTTTCTATATTGTCTATATTGGTCACTTCCGTTATGTAAAAAAATATAAGTAGCTTCATTTACGGTTCCATTGGGGGAGGTGTGAAAAGTCATAATTCAGGTTGAAAGAAAAATGTCAATATATTTCTATAAATTTTCATATTTCGTAATTTGCATAAATCTTTTATTATATTTTCTAGTTATTTTTTTTTATATATTTTCTTTATGATGGATTTTTTATAAAATATTTATCTTGTAAGAAGAAACTCTGACGATGTTCATTTCATTTTTTGTCTTTATACAAGTTTCTTAAAACACAAGGATATCAATAATGGAGGTGCTTAGAATTTAACCATATTTGAGTATAGTGGCTTATAAAAGTTCATATACACCCATTTCTATCTATCTATCTATCTATCTATCTATCTATCTATCTATCTACCCCAGTCTGTTCATTTCTATCTATCCCAGTCGGTTCATATCTATCTATCTATCTATCCCAGTCTGTTCATTTCTATCTATTCCAGTCTGTTCATATCTATCTATCTATCTATCTATCTATCTATCTATCTATCTATCTATCTATCTATCTATCTATCTATCCCAGTCTGTTCATAACTATCTATCCATCCCAGTCTGTTCATGCCTGTTCATATCTATCTATCTATCTATCTATCTATCTATCTATCTATCTATCTATCTATCTATCTATGTCTGTCTGTTCATATCTGTCTTGAATATAAGTTATGTTATTTCAGGAGGAATTTTTTTAACTCATTCAGTCTTTCTTATGAAATCGCGAAATGAAAGTTGTCTTGAACGGCCACTCTTCTAGATCTGTTCACATTAATGTAGGCATTTCCTAGAGCTATATAGATCTAAGTCGTTCCTAATAATCATAAACGACCTTCCTGATGTCATCAATTCTTAGCTCTGTATCTATTTTGATGACTCAGCTATTTACTTCTGTCTAAATAGTAAATCTGATCGGTTCGATAAGATCAAATTTAGTCGCCCCAAAACGAAAGGACCTCTTTTATTCGTCCGAGAGAACTCTTTTTACCTCTTCCATCAACGTGGCTGATGCTACCCTAATGGAGAGCGACTCATTACGCCTACTCGGATTTATGTTTTCCGCCAAGTTTACAGCTAGGAAAGTGGGTTCACTGTGTCATGCTAGACAATTTTCTTTCCAGAATCTATCTTATATATTTATAAGTCTACCATTCGCCCCTGCTTCGAATATTGCTGTCACATCTGATATGGTGCTTCTACTAAAAAAAATTAGAGATTCTTAGTAAAATCTAGCATATCTGCTATTCTGTCACTCTCCCACCGCCGTAACGTAGCTTTCTTGTGCCCTTTTCTATAAATATTTTCATGGCAATTTTTCGGACGAACTTTCCTCTATCTTACCAAGATTTTATGAATTTAAACGTACAGCTACATTGGCGGCTAGGTCTCATCATTTTACAGTTTAAATGGCTAGATTTAGCCGTAAGTTCTATGCTAAAATTTTCTTCCAGCTTCTTGCTTCCCAGTAGACTTTGAATCTTATAAATTTAGATGCAATGTCAATCGTTAACTCATCTCGTCTTAATTCTTGTTCATTTATTGTATTCTCTCCTTAATAGTATATTTTTTCATATTCTCTAACACCCAGTAACCCCTTGCGTCTTAGTGGCTATGTTGCCTTGCTTGGGGTGAAATAAAAAAAGAATCTATCTATCTATCTATCTATCTATCTATCTATCTATCTATCTATCTATCTATCTATCTATCTCATTCTGTCCATATCTAGATAGCAAGCTTGCAATTTAACGAGATATGTAACTCCTTTCTTTAACAATTTTTATCTCTCATTCTCTATCTCAATATAATTTTAATCGCATTCATATATATCACTCTATCTCTCTCAGTATGTTATCTATCTATCTATCTATCTATCTATCTATCTATCTATTTATCTATCTATCTATGTGTGTTCGTTCTTGTCTATCTGTCTCTCTATATATGGGTGTGTGTACGGCTATCCATGGTAAAAAAATGGAAGATTATTGGCCTTTTTACACACTGTAGGAATATTTATGCATCTGTTCTTACTGTAAACTAGATGCACTGATATTCCCTTCTTTAGAAGGTGTCAAAAATTAATACTTATTTCACCCCAGCTCGTTTTGGCCTGTATACCGAATCGCAGAGGTTCCCTCAGAAAGGATCCGGGTCCTTCCAAAAATAGCTACACAACAAATAGCGATATTGTGGTCCCTTTTCGTAGATTATCTCTTTTGGTAGAGAGAATGAAAGAAGTTAATGGAATAAAAACCAGTTAAAGGCTTCTTTTTATTTCCGCCTCGTTTTCGATACGCTTTTACCACCATTTTTCTTTGTTTATTTCTGCCTCGTTTTCGATACTTTTCGTTTCTTATTTTTTTCTTTTTCTCTCCTTCGACAATAGAAGAAACCTGATCTGTTTTATTTCTTTGTCCTTCGGGTCGCTGAAAACATACGAACCAATCAGAGAAGGGCGAAACGAATTTAAAAATCAACCTTCTTTTCGAGTAGGACCTGAGAGTCGGGTTAAACGTATGAATTTAAAACATATTAATAAGCTCGTCCACACGGTTATCGATGTTTGTTTATCGCATATTATATTCTTTTTTTCCTAACTGTCAAAGTTCATCAGTTTTTTTTTTTGTTATATTTTTAGGGATATAAGACACATAGTTGTATAAGGCGCACTCTTAGTTTGAATACAAAGACATTTTAAGACAAACTGTTCGAAAAAGAAAATACAGATGTATTTGAAAGATTTTTATCGAACACCTATAATTTAAAAATTGATATACAGGGTGCGATTGATAAATTGTGGCCTGAATGCCGCAACAGTGAAAATAACACTTGCATCTCATTTTAACAGATATACAGTCTGCGATGAGTAAATTTTCGTCTAAATGACGCAAAAGTGAAAATAACACTGGCATCTCATGTTAACAGACATATTTACCCAGCTTACAGAAACGTATCATGAAATACTAAAGAGTTAATTTATTCTATAAAATTATCATTGGTTTCAATCATGGCCGCCAGTCGACTTCGAAATCTTCTCAAACTCTACTGGACAGTCTCCTTGTTTAAGTTTGGCGAATGTTGCCATAATCCTTGCCTTGGTGTTACAGTGTGTTTTTTTGGTCTGTCGCTCAACTGCATCCCACACATGATAATGAAGGAGGTTGCAGTCTGGGGAGTTAGAAGAAGAAGAAGAAGAAGAAATGAAGAAGGAGTAGGAGGAAAAGAGGGAAAAAGACGAAGAAAATGAAGAAGAAGAAGAAGAAGAATTTGAAAAGAGACAGAAGATAACGAAAAAAGAAGAGAGAATAAAGAAATGGAAAAAGAACACGAAGAAGAAAAAAAAATGAAGGCGGAGTAGAAGGAAAAGAGAGGAAAGGACGAAAAAACGAAGGAGGAGAAAAAGGAGGAGGAGGAGAAGAAGAAGAAGAAGAGGAAGAACGAGAAGAAGAAGAATTTGAAAAGGGACACAGAAAATAAAGAAAAAGAAGAGAGAGAATAAGGAAATGTAGAAGAAAAGGGACGAGAAGAAGCCGTAAAAACGGCAGGAAAGACAAAAGAAGAAGAAATGGATGTGGAGATAAAAAAAAAAAAAAGTAAAAAGAGAAACCAGAAAAGATAAAGTAAAAGATAAAGTAAAAGAATAAAAAAAAAAAAAAAAAGATAACAAATAGAGGAAGGCAAGAAAAAAAAAATTAAAGTCAAAGAAGGAGACGGAAACAAAAGATAAAAAAAAAAAAACTAAAAAAAAAAAAGAATTGAAAAAGAAGGAGAAAAGACAAAGAAGAAGAAATTAAAGAAGAAGGAAGAAAATAATGAGAAAAGGAAATGGAAGAAAAAAGAGGGAGAAAAAAAAAAAGAAGAGGATGAAGAGGAAAAAGAAGTGAGAAGTTAACGACCAAGAAGAGGAAGCTAACGGGATGTGGATAAAGGAACAAAGAAACAATAAAGATAAGGACGGGGAAGAAGAAAAAAAAAAGAAAGAGAAAAAAGATGAAGAAGAAAATGAGAAAAAAATTGAAAAAATAATGACAAAGAAGGAAAAGGCAGCAGAAAAAAAAGGGAGGAGAAAGGAAACGAAGAAGGTAAGGACGGCGAAGTAAATTTGATTGATTTTTTACGGCTTATCAACCTTTTGAGTTTATTCACATCCAGAAAATAGTTTTAGATTGCAAGAGTGTTTGGGAGATAATAATGATTTATTAAAACATGTTCAACTAATTAACCCATAGCTGGAGGGGGAGAGGTGGATTCATAACTTTTCTAATGTTATTTGCCCGTAAGTGAATATAACGAACCCAACCGGAATTGAAACTCGACTCTCCGATTTCCAAGCCGTTATGCATTGCACCACCCGCACATCCAAGCTTACAGTATGCAGGTCACCCATCTGTGTACTGACCAAGTTTGACGATGTTTAACTTCGGTGATAGTACGAGACAAGGTGTGATATGACCGTAAGCCGACGAAATAAGAGAAAGTGTAGGAGAAAATAAAAGTAGGCATGGATAAAAGAGGTAGAAAGCAAGAAGAGAGAAGAAAAAAATGAGAAGTTGAGACAGAAGGAAAAAGAACAAAGAAAAGGAGGGGAAGAAAAGAAGAAAAAAGAAAAGATAAAGAAGAAAACGTTTATGAAAAAGGAGGAGGAAAGAAAAGGAAATTATGAGAAGGAAATAAAAAAGAGGAAATGAAAGAAAGCCTGATGGGACATTCCTTTTTAATTTACAAGAAAGAATATCGTAGAAAAGAAGGAACTGTACGAGGAAACCAAATTCATTGTGTTTCCTGAATATTAAAATTCTTAGCAAAGCACAACGTCCGAAAGCTATTTTCGTATTTTCTATGTAAACTGAAAAAAAAAAAATTGAGGAAATTAATGCCAATTATTTTTCACATCGCAACCACTGTATATATGTTGCTTGCGTCTGTGTATTTTGTGTGAGGAAGACTGAAAACTTATCGATCCATCTGTTGTGGCCTGTTTAGAGGCCAGAAAGAAAGACATGGAAGACGAAGGTAGGTTGAAAAAAGTATATTGAAGATATATACAAAACAATAGTGTTAGTAATAAGTACTCCACTTCCTTCTACTATCCGACTCTCGCAGTTTGTATTTATGAGAGGAGGAAGACTTCATTCTACTGTAGGAGGGTTTACCACAACACCATCCCAATTTCCCAAATTTGAGCAAATGACAAAACAACACAACTTTTTTTTTTTTAAAATGCCTTCATTTCTTCTTGGATGAACTTTTTGTTACCTCCTCGTGCGTGTGCATATATATATATATATATATATATATATATATATATATATATATATATATATATTTAATTTCATTTCAATTAAAAGGTGCAAATATAATTTATAAATTCATGAATCATTCATACAAAAAACAAATATAGAGGTTAATGATTTAAATGGCGAGAATACTTCGTCGCAAACAATATAAATAAGATACATCAACCCCGAACCTGTATATGAATGATATAATCCCCGTTTATAAATTCCAATTGCATAAGGTCTTTTTAATTTTTTACAAGCTTTCGTCTGTTCCTACAGACATCGTCAGGTATGGAAGTAGATTTTGTTCTTGTTTTTACTTCTCAGTAATAAGAGGACAACGAAAATAGAGATGTAATCCGAAAAAAATTATAAACGGGGATCACATCATTCATATACAGGTTCGGGGTTGATGTATCTTATTTATATTGTTTGCGACGAAGTATTCTCGCCATTTAAATCATTAACCTCTATATTTGTTTTTTTAATATGAATGATTCATGAATTTATATATATATATATATATATATATATATATATATATATATATATATATATTTTCAAAAGGTAATGTTGAAAAAAAATCAACAAACTTGTAGGCTATTGTGGCAAGCAGAAAGAAAAGATACTGAATCTTGAGAACCATGGCTAAAGGCATGAAACCAAACGAAATCAGGTGTGTACAGGGAACGAAAGTGAAAGAGAATGAAAGAATATGAAGGACTGTGAAAAGAGAAAAAAAAGAGGGTTCAAGAAGACACAAGATAGCGATTGATGCTGCATTTAATTTTTTGAAGATTGTAGTTGACAGGGAAGCAAGAAATCGGAAGGGAATCAACAGGCGAGAAGTGCGAGAAAAGAAACTTTTAGAGTAAATGTGGCGGTTGCATTCTGTTATTTATTCAATATCCTTATCTATTCAATATCATTATTCAGTATTTTTATCTATTAAATATCATTATCTATTCAATATTTCTATCTATTAAGTATCTTTATCTATTAAATATCCTTATCTTTTCAACATCCTTATCTGTTCAGTATCATTATCTATTTAATATCCTTATCTCCTATACTAATTTTATTATAACTGATCCATACATTGAAGTATTACCAGTGTTTAGATTTCTGCTATGGTAGCTAGACTCTTTGAATTTAAGCGAAGTACTAGATTGCCAACAAGGTGTCTTCAATTTACACTTGAATTGGCTAACATGGAACCGTAAGTTCTATGCTAACAATTTCTTTTCCCGCACTTCTCACTTGTGGAACTCTCTTCCAGCTCGATGCTTTTCAGCTTTCTTTGATCTTAAAAAAATTTAAACGCAATATCAATCGTTATCTACT